TAATGATCATGATTATGGTAAGTGTTACTCAAATTCAAAAATAGTCATGTGTGTATACCTCTGTGCAAATAGAAGAAAATTAACTCTCATTTTCGTTTCTAAAATCTCCGGAAGACAAATACTTACCTTTGATTATTGTTCTATTTATTTCAGCTAACTGTGTTGAAATTGAGCTGGGGTCGCCAATTCACCAAATTGATAATACAAATACATTGGAGATAAATTCTTTGAATTACAATAGTATTAATAAAAGGACCTTGGAGGTCATAAGTCCTAAAAAGACTCAAGGGTGTCTGAAATCAATTACCACTCCAAAACATAAAACACAGCCTTCAGACCAAAATAGTAGTGTACTAGGTGAGCAGTACCTAGTTTGACTACTGTTTTAGTCTTTTATAATATGTACCTGGTGTCACAAAAATATACAAAAATACAGTTTGTATATTTGTATTTTTTGTTTTCAAGATAATAATTTTGTTTGATAAACTGATCCTTATTGTTTCTAAAATCGCAATTTTAGTCTACAAAAATTGTAAAATCAATTAAATTTTTTAGGTCCTTCGAGGATGCGAACTAAACGACAGCCTATTAGAAAAAATGCCTTGAAATATTTATCGCAAAAACAGGAGAGATACTGAAGAGATAATGAAGAAAAGCTAAAATTAGAAAAACAAAAATTAGAACTTGAAAATGAAGAACGGAAACACAGAATGTATGAAAAAAAATAGAATAAGAAGTAACTTTCAACATATTGCAAAAAAGGATAGATACTTTTGCACAAAAGTGCAATAAGGCCTAATTTTGATAGATTATATTTGTTGGTTTTGTTTATTTTTTGACCTTCCTTCGATTCAAACCAAAAATGATCAATATTTTTAGAGTACAAAGTTGTGATTAAAAAAAATGTGACATAAAGAAAGTTTTGTAAAAATATTAGGTTTCTGTAAGTATAGTAATGTTACTGTTATAACATTTGTTCGATTTAATAATTGTAAATTAGGGTCCAATATATTTTTGTTGACTTTAATAAAAGACTGATGTAAATTATAAAAATTGTATTTCATTTCAACAATTATTAGAAAAAAACAATGCAAAACATTCCTCTACATTTGGAGGTTGCAGATCAGAGTAGTCTGCTGTTTGACCACCGTATAAACTTGTGTGTGCATTTGTTTATAATACAAAGGCCTTATATAGGGTCTGCAAGTCCTGCATTGAGAGTTTTTTATGTTTTTCAAATCTACAAATGCAAATTATTGTATAATTTTCGAAAAAACCCATTCAACTGCAACTCGAAGAGTTTTCATCGAATTATCAAATTCTAATTGTTAAGGTGGCAACAGATTTGGCTGTCTTGGAAAAGGGGTGATGAGTAATTCCATAAGGCCATATCCCTGGTCACCAAACAAAACAAATTTGTTTCCACCACACACTACTTTCTCTTCCAGTTGCTGGTACAAACTGCTCTCCACCAAAAAAAAATGTAGTGTTCACACTCATAAATTACTTATAGTATCAACAATACCTAAATATGCCTGCATCGTCCAGGAAATCCTCCCATTAAACTTGTGATTATGCCATCTGGACAAAGCACACTTTGATATTTGAGGCAATGAAACTTTTTGTGTCCAGAATAGTATTCTTTCTGGTTGATAGACATACGACACTGTAATAATATGGTCCTTTTCTCATAATGAGAGGAAATGAAANAAGATACCTAAATTACCTACTACAGTGCTACTATAGTACTACTACAGTTCTACTATACTTCTGAATAAAGCTAAAAAAAGGCAAATATTGTAATAAAGTAAAAAATAGATTTGATTTGTATCAAACAATTTGAATCCGATTATTATTAAAGCATTCTAAAATTATTGTAGAATTCTTTAATAATCATCAGATCCATCAATATACCTGAGCATATGATTCCAGTTTTTGCCTGTCTAACTACTGTAAAAGGCTCACGTCTAACAAAAGATCCCCTTTTTGGGCAATCCTTATATATCTACTGTTGTCCGTATTACTTGAGAAAAAGGCTTTTAGGTCAATAAGCCTTCTTGGATAGGCTAACCTCTTTAGTACTATACACAATGTTTTTAATCCTATACACAATGCTTTTGTTAACAAAAAAATGCTTGTATTTGCATAATATGAATGATTGTCAGATACATTTTGTAAGGGATGTACCCTGACATTTAAGGTTTTGCTTTATTTAAATAAGGCTTAACTTCATTAAGGCATTACCTTAAAGGGCGGTGTTCAATAATTCTCTATTATTTACTATTATTCACCAAAGAATTGAGACGAGAATTGAAATAAATATGTTCAAATATTAATATTCCAATTCAATACTCATATTTTGTGCTTGTTGGGTTTCCCTTTTCCTCTCAACTCTCTTCTGAAATAAAACATTTTCATTCATTTTCCACGTCCACTCTCGCTTGCTCCTTTATAACGAATGAATCTTGAATCAACCCTAACAAAGGGAACTGAGTCAGCGTTATACAATCTCATAACGTGCGTTTATTTCTCACTTCCGTGATTGGCATTTTCACAATATCTCATTACACTACAGTACTTTCATTTATATGTTTTCAATAAACAAAATTTCTGTATTTTTTTTTATCTTTTCTGCATACCTTTTAAATACTCATTTAATTGCGGCTCGCAAATGCAACAGCATCTTCGAGCATCACAATACTGTCTGAACAAATTTTGTGTCATGCGTCATTATGACTATTACTACCTGACAAATTCCTACATGATAAATTCAATACCAAAACTATTTACCTTTCTGAGACCAACTCATAAAACTGAAGAATAATGAATACAATTTTTATTTTTATTAAGATATATCCGTGTTACCAATTTCCTCATTTTAAACTAAATTAAATGAAGGGGAGTTTTTCAACCTTCCTCTTCCAAATGTGATACGTCAATACGTCGATAAAATGGTTTTGCAACTTTTCACAAACCATCTTACACGGATATCATTATACACAATTCATCTATACATCCATATCAACTAAAGCAGCAACATTCAATAGTATGATTCACATACACACTTTCAGAAAACAATTTTTGAAGAGAACTGATCTTCATTGAACATATTACTGTCAATAACAGTTACGAGGTGGTTATTATCAAGTAATTTCTTCCAAAACAATTGCAGAAAGAAACTCAGAACTTAACCTTACCTAACCTAACTTAACGAGGTCTATACACTTTCGAAGAATGTTACAGCAAGCACCAAACATGATGGCGAGCCCGCCCCCATGCACACAAACTAATTTTTAATGTATCCCCACCACAGCTCTTACAAGACCAGAGTTGCCCACTGTAGCGGAATTCCGCTACTGTAGCGGAATTGGTAGCGACGTAGCGGATTTGAACATAAAGTAGCGGAATTTTCAACAAATAATCAATTTTGAAAAAGATAAGGAAGAAGAGGCAGTGGGCAGCACTCGAAGCTGACAGCTGACACTTCAATAATTGAATGCACAGTCAATAGGTTATAGTCTTAGTAGCTGAGGCCATAACATGATGAAAGAGAAGAAGAATATTTTTGGATGTTTTCAATCATATCTCATGAAAGTCTCGAGTATCTCGAGTATTACGAATTATATGGAACAAATTACAGTGGAACTGGAAGATAGTTCACCTGATTGTAGCTCGAGCAAAAGAGCTACCGCAGTTGTAATTCCAACTTGAAAAGATGGATTAGACCTGTCGCGAATGATCGTTCAAGATCATTCAAAATCATTATTACAAGCTAAGAAATATTCATAAGGAAATGAAAATTTGAAATATTAATCTCTCCCAACTACCTACACAGTGAGGTGTGGTAAACGTCTGTCGAAAAGCAAGTTTTAGCCGAGAAAGTAGTTGTGTAGCGACTTCATAGTTCATCCAGTTGGCAACACTGTGCACAGAAGCGTATCATTACTTGTCCTCGAATGCTGTTGGCGTTTGGCATTGTCAGGATAATTTGTGTTATTTCTGAAACATTCATATCGAATAATATTTTGAGTTAATTCATTGAAAGAACTAAAGATGAAAGTCCAGTGTCGGACAGATCGAGAATATATAATTTTACTTGTAGTTCTTTTTCAAAATTTTATGTTGGCCAAACCGAAAAAACTCTTTCTAAAATAATATAAAAGCATTGAAGTAGTTATTTTTGTCAAAAGTAATTATATATTTTTCTTAAATTTTGTATTTTTGATTGTTTGTTTAAAGAATTCTGACTTTTACTAATGTGAATCGTATCAATGTATATATCAAAAAGCTTAATTTCCCTGTATAGTTAGAAAATCAGAAGGTAAGTCGAATCAATACACGGTCCTCGTTGTTGTGTATTAACGACAAACTTCGTCAACACATTTCGAACATGAATTTCCATTCAGTTTTCACGTTAACGTAATTTTACTGCACGCAATACACGAGGAAGGTGCAACAATGTTGCGAAAATGATTTACAGTGTATTTCGAAGTACAAATTTGCATAGATATTGTTATTGGGCGCATTTTCGTTAGACCTTTCGGAATCGTAATTTAGTTTTGACGTCTATTGGTATTCTGATATTGTTGTTCATCCCAACCTAGAATGAGAGATATGACCTGAAACATTCAAACATCGAGTAATTTCAGAAATTTATATTTCACATATAGATATACTATTTGAGAAATGAAAAAACTGTTTTGAAAAAATATTTCTGCTCTGACCGCTCTATTTCTTGCTGAATGTGAAAGGTTCGAACTAGAGATTCAATAGTGTTAACAGTTTGAAAATCTAAGATGTGGAGAAAGGAAAAGAATAAATAGAACAATTAAGGTAATAGGGTGTTACGATTAGTTACGATTATTAAATTAGGGCAACTCTATTTGTGAAACACCCGATATATAGTTCCAGCCGAATCGATAAGTTTTTTTTGAAAGAAAAAAAAGAAACGTTTTTTTCTCTCGTCCGTCCGCTCTAGGGCATTGGTGAGTGAAACTGAATGATAACGTTCGGAAGATTTGATTTCAGGCAAATTCTGGTTTTCGAATATAAAATTACATCTTTTGACGGATATAAACCTGCCGTACCTTGTTGTGATATTGTGATTGGGTAATTCTGCTGTGGAGCGATCTTGCAATATCCTTATTATCGATTGGGATGAATTTTATCGAATGAATTATTTCTTCCGGACCGTTTAAAAACATCTCCGGCAATGTTAGGGCAGTCGAGCAATGGGAGGTAAGCGTATAGTTTTGTCATTCATTATTTTATTTTGGCACGGATGTATCGCGAAATCAATTATTTACGAGAATACCTTTTTTTAGATGTTTTTCTCTGATATGGTAAATCGAAATTTCGCCCGGACGATGCTACCTTTGAGAACACGTCGAAGTGGATGGGATCAGACCTTTTTGAACTTTATTGCCTTGTACGTAGCGACTAAACCACAAATTTTCCGAAGTCATATGGATAGTGGTGTTCCTATTTCGACCGTGTGGACGTGGAATTAAGAGCTTTTCACGAATTTGCGTAATAGCGGGCCATAGGAATCTACACATCACTAGCAGCTAGATAAGTACCGATTAGAAGTTTTATTAATGGTGTTGTTTTTGCGGTATTCTGACATTATTGTTTACGAAAGCAATGAACCTCGCTGAATAGGTGTTTCCGAATAGTTTTGTCTTCGCCTTTGTATAAGCGTTTAGTTTGTAGTATAAGTGAAGAATAAATCCGTTGAACAGGCGTATTTTGGGGAAGCAACATTCAACGTTTTTATTCTTGTTCCTTTGTCGTATTCCACCTTATTGTTTTCGCGTATCTGGATTGTTTAGTAGTTTCATTTCAGGTTTAGGCTAGTCGGTGCACAAGAAACTACTTGGCGCCCTTGTTATCAATTTTTTTGTACGTATTTATACTTATCTGTCTGATTCAACCCACGGTCCTTACGAGCAAGCACATTACTTGCCGTACACCAAAAAAAAGGACAGAAGTGTTATTACTAATGTTTTAAAAATTAATGTCTTTGATAGATAATTTTTTTTATTATTGAATTTAATGTAATAAGGGACGATTTATTCGTGTAAGTCAAATAAAACACAAACCTTATTTACGAATGAGCTAGAATAGCTCACTATTTCAAAACTTCATTTTCCGAGTTATTCCTTCCGTTCAGTGAGTAGAAAGCCGAATTGTTTCTCCACAAAAATCTGATCTCGTTTAAAAATATCGACTTTTCAATTCAGATATTATGTCTGGCCACATTCGGCCAACATATTCGCACATCTGAAGAAAAAGTAGTTCATTCGATATTTATCGTGGAAAGATCACAAATCAAAATAGTTCTCTCATAAATACTCCTGCTGAGTATTTTGAACATTGCACTTTGGGCGGGCAATACAAAGTCGATGATTAAAATGAAAATTTGAAGTCATCGGAATATCATGTTTGTCATGATATTATTTTCATGTGTTATCAATTAGCTTCAACCGTTACTATATTCAGCTTTCACTTATATATTGAATACATTTTTAAAATAGTCTAAATCGATAGTTACGTCCAAATGTTCATTGATCGAGAGTATGTCTGTGATGCTCACAAATTTTGTATTTCCGATATCTCATGAACTAACTACAGTTCAGGGCTTGTTAGGAAGTAATAGTAGCTGAAAGACGAGCAGCGTTAATGACTTTTGATAACAGGGAAAGCTGATTACTTGTCAGAAACAGGAAAATGTCTGGCAGAAAATGTATTCGTGTAAGTTAAAACAAAACGATGGTTGAGAGGTTTTTGGAAAATGATTGTAGAGGGTTATTTTATCCCAGTTTGATACATATATAACATATAAAAGAACAGCTTCACGATTTTTTGAGTAGGACAACTTAGTAAATGAAGTGCGTAGTTTCCATCAAGGCAAAAATGACCTACAACTGCAATAATATTGCCTTCGTTATTTACTTCTCTCTTTGGATCACGTTGTTTGTTGTTAATGTTACCAGTTTCCATGAATTCATCTAACGATTCCATTTCAAATTTATATCTTACATTTCTGTCTGAATGCTTGCCGTTTAAAACACAGTTGAAAAATTTTCACTGGCCCTTACAAATTCTTCAAGTTCGTAGTAAAATCTACTTTTGAAGTGAATAGTAAACCACTTTTATGATACTGAACTAAATAATGACTCGAGTTCAAACAAGAACAAAAATAGAATTTCTATTCAATATCTGCCTCAATGTCAAAAATGTTTCAGGATTGGAACAGAATTGAAAGACCTTTCAATTAAAGTGTAACTAGACTATTTCCACATTCTTGATATCAAATGATTTATTCAGTGTGGCTCGTTTCAACCAGGATGAAATATATATATTTTTCAATAATTCAATCTAAAATATGAATAGCAAAATGTTTAGTCTGTTTTTTATTGCACTCAATTAGATTCTTTGTTGACCTGGTTTGTAATAATCTCAAAGTGATTAAGAAATATCCACACACAAAATTTTCCAAATAATATTTAGAAATATCAAATATGTCATTACGAAACTTGTTCTGAACGTTTCCACTAAGCAGAACATCCTCTGTGAACTGTCAAAATGAATGTTATGTATGCAGAATAATAAACCGTTGAATATTATCTTGAAACGAGTACATTGCAATTAAATGAACATACATTTTTTAACGACCTTTTTGGGGAATTTTTACTTTTCACTACCTGTAAAATATGAAAATCATAATGGATAACTTTATACAAGTGTAGAAAGGGCAAACTTTTTAGTTTACCCCGACAAGTTACTGCGTAAAATCAAAATATATTTATCAGTAACTTGTTCTATTTGACAGTTTTGCCTATCGGAAAAAATTGCTAAGAAATAATACAATACTTATCTCAAAGTTTCGGAGGCCAAAATCTGCATCCGTCTTCAGAAATGGACAAAAAATTCAAAGATCATTGCAGTTATTCATTTGTTGATTATTTATTTCTCCATTTCTTCGACAAATATCAAAAGAGATTTGAAATGTGAAATCATGATAATTGAAACATTCGATGTAATACAAGGGGCTCTCCGATATCAGTCTGTTGCCATTTCGCCACTATCCAAATTTTCCTTCAAGATGGGTAGCCAAATACGGTATATTTGTAAGGAGCTACACTTGTATAAAGTTCTCCATTATAATTTTCATATTTTTCAGATTGTGGAAGGTAAAAATACCCAAAAAAGGTCGATAATATACTGATTTTTTAATGATATTCAAATGAAAAAGCCATGTGGCTTTCAAAATCTCCTGGTCTAAGTTGATTAACTCTTCTGGTCATGAATGGCTTGAATTTGTGTGTATTCAAAATCCTCCTTACGTAAGTTCTTGGCAGGCCTGTTGATATTTTCAAATTTCATGTTGACGTTTTGAGATTATTTTCAACAGCTCCTGAAACGACTATTTTTTCCAACACCTCATCCCTATTTGATTGATTCATATAATTTTGGCCTTTCCTTTTCAAATTAACTATCATCAATTAGGTTGTGTTGCAATCTTAGGAAATTGTCTCTAAAAGGTTGTCTTCTCTCTGGATAACTCTCTGGATACCTGCTTCTGCATTTTCCCCAGTTTGTATAGAACAGACTATCATATCTCATTTTTCATAATTGAAAATTGAACAAAAATCACTGATTGAAAAGCGTCTTCACTAGCTAAAACCAAACCTTGACAGCTACTAGCAAAGATTTGCATTTTGTCCAAAGCCTACTTGGTCAAACTGTGCAATTCAAAGTCTACATGAAAAAACCTTAAAGATCTGTATTTCAAAGATGACTTTAGCAAAACATCAAGTGTGTTACATTTTTGGAAAGGTAATTTTAAGCCCTATTGAAATATGCAGGAATATACACGGTCTCTCATTAAAAAATAGTTTGCGATCAATAACTACTGATATCTCATTAACACCACTGAATTCTACATAAGAAAATGCTTTGGAAATGTTCCCATGGAATTTTTAACAGGAAAAAGTTACAGCAACTTTTCGAAAATGCACATTTTTGAAAAACACGCCGCAACGATGATAGATATCGATTTGCGGTTTTCACCAATGAGTTTTTCATAAAATTTGACACCCATCAGTTTTCATCTATCTAGTTTGAAAAATGGAGTTTTCCTTTGAAAGTGTCCAATTTGGCCCACTTTGTACATCTTTCACTCATATATAGCGACTATATTTAGTTCACAAATAGTGGAAACTTGTACACTGGATGTAGGTGCTTTTCTTGGTATTCCACGTAGGGAAAATTATCCAAGTAAATAATTGAATTCAGCTGAATATTCCTCAAATGTTAAAAGAAAAAAATTGTAGAACCTGAATTGTACAGACGTACGTAGTAATACCTGTGTTGTCATATTACAACTGGACTCTTTGTGATGTAGAACTGATACTTTCTAGATCTGAGTGGATAGGATAGGATAGGATAGGATAGGATAGGATAGGATAGGATAGGATAGGATAGGATAGGATAGGATAGGATAGGATAGGATAGGATAGGATAGGACAGGACAGGACAGGACAACACAGGACAGGACAGGACAGGACAGGACAGGATAGGATAACCATAGGATAGGATAACCATGCCACTACATGAGTTTATTACTGAACCCAAAGATGAGCGAGAACGAATTCAATTGAAGAGAACAAATTTTAGGCTAGAAGGCAGTGCTCGAATGGAACCTGATGTTTGTGAGAAACTTGGCTTTTCGAGACACAATTCGCCGAATTTTGCGTCGTGATTTGGGCCGACACCAGTTTGAAATTCAACCAACCCACAACTAACTAACAACGACGTGTGGGCTTCGGAGCAGTTGGCAACTGACCCTAATTTTCATCGAAAAATATTCTTCAGCGATAAGGCCCTTTTCTGTATGAATGGCTTCGTGAACAATCAAAATTATCGAATTTGGAACGATGCCAATATACATGAGATGCAAGAGCATCCAATGCATCCCAAAAAGTTACTGTTTGGTGTGTATTTCAAGCTCATGACGGCATCGGTTCATATTTCTTTGAGAACGATGTTAGCCAAGCCATCAATGTCAACGGCGACCACTATAGGTCGAAGATTAGCAACTTCTTCTGGCCTGAATTGGATTTGAGGGCATATTAATCTTACGAAGAGGTGATGTGAACTTGTCACCCTGATCATGCGATTTGACACCGTTAGACTTTTTCTTGTGGAGTTTTCTCAAGTCGCAGGTGTATGCGAATAAGTGACAAACCACAACAGTTCTGAATGTCAACATAACCTATGCCACCTATGCCATTGGTCAAATTAAGCCTGATTTACGCGCCAGAGTCATGGAAAATTGGACGTTTTGGATGCGCTCCACCCATAGAAACGGTGGCCAACATTTGAACGATGTTATATTCCACACATGATGGCATCAATAGATATTTCAAACAAATACGAAATTCTGATGATATTCCACACACACTTTGTTTCATTTAATTTCAAACATAGGAAGCGCGGTATTCTCAATCTGCCGAGGACCTGCTCCAAAACAGTTACCCACTGAAAATTCCCTTTTGAATAATACATATGCTTGAAATATTTTTATAAACTTCATTGGCCAATTCAAATAGGTTAAATAGATCGAGGACAGTGCAAGTTGTCATAGACA